AGTGCTGACTCAGCACTAGTACAAGAATAAATACTATACAATGCTGATTACTGATATATTCTCAATAATATAAAGCACAAAATCTCAACATAAAAATATTGATTGAATTTTCTATCCTTCATAAGTGTATTATTTGTTGGATAAAATTGTGATTAGAATTAATCTAAAAACTTCATTATTTTCGTGTCTTTATTATTTGACCTTTTTATTTAATACAAAAATATTTACCACAAGAAAACTTACTATTTTTGTTCAAAAGTTACAATTAATTAAAAAAGTTATTATTTTATTGTTGACATGACATTAGGAATGTAATAAATCTTTCAAAGTTTAAGTTATTATTTAATATTTCAAGTTTTCAACCATAAAATTTTGTCTAACATTTTGAAACTTTAAATTAAACTACTCAAAATTTTCTTATCTGTTAATAAGGTTTTTAACAAGAACCAATGTAGTATATCAACACAAGTTACAAAAAATATTGTAACTCGTCATATAATTTAACTTTTATCTTATAGTACATGTGTTTACTAGTTATATCTAACAATAATAATATATATTGTAAAATCCTTGTGCCAATAATGATTTTATCTAATATCATCTTAAAAGAAACTTGAACATGTTGGCAATTATATTAATTTATAACGCAAGTTTGGTCACGGGAAAAGTTTTTCCTACAGGTATGTACTCAATTCAAATAAAACGTATTACAATTAATTATAATTTTATTTTGTGGTAACCTTTTTTTACTTGAAACTTGTAGCTAATGATGATAGTCTTGAGAAAAACTTCGAGTTGATCGTCCGATGTAAAGTGGAGGCAGTTACTGCAAACATCCATTCGATTATTGCTTTTGCTTGGAGATGCTAGGTTGAGATCAAAGCTGAACATGATAATGTCTTCACACTATTAAGACAAACCCTGTTAAAGTGGAGGCAATTACTGCAAACTATGGGTCGTATTCAGTGCATGTAGAAGAGTATGTGGGTGTTGTGTCTGTCAATGAACCTGTACAAGTGCACTCAATTGATGTGTAGAGTCAGCATAAGGTAAATTCATATAGAAGTATAACCTCTACAGACTCTAGGCAGTGTTTACGTGCTAAAGGACATCTAGCAAGATTGACAAAATATTTTATTCTTTATGCGTGGACACTTTTCTCTGTTGTTTTGGTTTGAATGCTAAGGTGTAACACATTATCTATGATTAACTCTTGTTTGCAGTTAATGTATAGTTATTGTAATTGTTTTAGTTATGTTGTTTAAGCCCTGGCAGTATTGCATTCTGGTTATATCGAATGCCCATGCCTTGGGGCTCTTTGAGGAAGGGTGCATTTTTCAAAAGATTAATAGGGCTTTTATTGTCAATTCTAAATTGGCAGATGATTTTCTTTAAGTTGAAATGCTACTATGATGAGAAATGGACTGAGATAATTACAGCAGACTCTTCCGTATTAAAAACTTGGAATCATAAGGTCTTTGTCGGTGGTAGCCTATAAATAAATGACTAGTATCCACAAACTAATAAAATAGTTGTGCTTATAAGGAACTATGGTCATCACTGTCCAATTCAATTTATATCGATGCATTTGATGCGGTGGAGTCTATTTACTCTGAAGCTTTGGGGTTCATTTATTATGAGTTGATCGTCGGAGATTATAAGGATACAAATTTAGCGGAAGTTTATGCGGACACTATCGATGTCGTAAGAATTCTCTTATACTTTATTTATAATATCTTTTGTTTATTGATAAAAAATTAAAAGCTAATTAAAATGCTCTTGTTCTTTGTTATTATTTATGATCATGGAATTTCTCTACAAAGAACCTTATTGGTTCAATTTGATAAGTTGTATGCAATATATTTTAGTTCTTCGTACTAGGCTCTAGAATTTTATTAAAATTGTACTCACACTATTTAAATGCTACATGTGGAGTTTTGAACGCTTGGACGAAAAGAAGATTATTGGGGAAGAAGTTTATATCACGGATATGTTGATCATGTACATTTGAGCACCTTACTACCAACACAATTTCTCTAGATAGAACACAACTTCTCTTTTTTATAATTTTAGTTGAATAGCGCTGGACTGCTTAATGCTGACATGAGAATAAGAAAAAAAAATGGAAATTTCTGCAATAACACTTTTTAATCACTACTAAAACTCAACTTTACGTGTCACCTAAAATAGACTTAATATTTTGCACCATTTAGAAGTAGTGAAGACCAACATATCATCAAAACATGAGTCTAGTCCAATTAAGTTAAGCTCTACATTATAAAAAAAAACACTCTATCAAACCATTATAGAGAAAAGAATTGTGAATGGAATAAAAGTCTATTTTATCTGCTACATGTACTAGTTGTTGGTATTATCTATCTATCTATCTATCTATCTATCTATATTATATTATACTGTATTAAAAGCACGAAAGAGCTAAGCGAAATGTTGTTCGCCCTTTTTACCTGTTAAAAATATATTTTACATTGGATAAAATTGTAACAAAAAACATTCATAATATTTAGGAGTTCTAAATTAAAGAAGTTCTAAAAAATATAATTTAGTGTTTGATATCTTCTCCTAGTAAGGATACAAAATGTTAAGACAATAAAAGAATACAAAAAGTAGGAGGAAAGTTTCTTTTCCAACAAGAAAACTCCACAATGTAGTTTTTAGAAGCTTGGTCGTTTAATCCATTTGTTTTTTTTTTCTTAAAATTTAAGACGGCATTAGGTTTTAAAATAGTAATTATTGTTGGAAAAAATAGAATTATTAATTTGTGGTAAAAAATTAATTTTTATAATTAATTTACAAAAGTACCTAAATTATTATTTTTTTGGTAAAAAAGAAACTAATATTATTATACATATTTGACTTTACAAAATAGGAATTAGTTACAAAATTCATCTTGTAGCTAATAGGATATTTTTATAATCTCTCACTAATTCTGTCACTGAATATGATTAGCAACAATTTTTTATTATTCAGCTACATAATTGGTCCATCACTTATTTTTTTTCCTTTTAGTAGTTGACATGTCTATAATAAGTACCTAGACGATCATTTTGGTACGAAATTAAAATAAAAGAAGGGAATGCATAATAGAACACTGATCTTTCAAGATTATCTTGGTTATTATTTTCATACTTAGCTAGGCCATTCGCTACTTTTTGACTAAATAGGATCAATATTCGTCATTTCAAGAGCTTATATTTTTTAATATTTTATTTTCAAATGCTTATATTTTTTATAATTGTATACACTTCGATATAAGGTATACGCACGTCGCACGTATCCTAAAACTAATTTGTCAAATAACGTTTGTACGTTTAAAACGATAAATATGAAGGAAACAAATAAGACTTATGGAAAGCTAGTAAACATAAACAATAAACAATAGAGACAAACATAAGAAAGATGAGCAATTCATATTGCACGTGGAATCATTTTACTTCTCTATTTAGGCAAGACAAAAGCATCGTCATCTGTTTATATATGAAAATTAGTTTGTTCTTATATGGAGTGAAGCCACACACACATGTGGGAGACAGCCTTAAAAGGCCCGTACCCTCTCTCGTGGAGGATATAACATGGAGGCCCAACACTAAGGACGGGTGTGGCTCTGCTACCTTGTAAGATATGACACAAGGGTATAACGTAATTCTATAAGCTAGCTCAAGAGGATTGTCCAAGTACATTTAAGGAGACCATCATTGCATTCTCCAACCGATCTGGAGTGATGCTTGTGGAATGTCAATTTTAGGCGATACAACACTCTTTAATTATCTGTTATATACATAAAATTAGTACAACATGTTTTTTGTTTTTGGTTCAAAAAAGGTACTCAATCAGTACCAGTACATACTATAGTACTTCAACTATATGCTTTACATTTCTATTTTGTTTACTATAAAACGATTAGTAGAAAATTCTCTATCTATAATTGTAACATTAAATTCATGGCCCTTTATGCGCTAGCTCAATGTCAAAGAAGTCTTTTTTATTGTGGTGTTGGATAGGTGATTTGCACAAGTATTCACTTTTGTGGCATTGTATCAGAAGTTAGTCACTTTTGAAAACCCCATGGTCTTAATTCTTAAACTAAGTTATGTACTATAACATATCAAAATACTCTTTGAATATTGGGATTTTAAAGATGTTATTTTATTCCTGTAAGGGAGTGTCACTAGGGATAGAAAAGAATATTGAAATTAAATTAAAAACTTACTAGATAATGAAATGTGACAATATTATTTTTGAAACAAACTAAAAACAAGTTAAAACACAAACTGAAAAGGAGGGAGTCTTTTTTAAAATTAGATCAACGAGCAGTTCAAAAATGACCACTTGCTCTGAAGTTTAATACTCATACCATGGACTAACTTGTTTGGGATTGAGACATAGTAATTGTTATTGGTTAAGAAATGGAAGAAGAGACAGCTGGAGCAGGGGGGAAATTGATGCTTTCTACAGAGTTGTCGAGAAAGAAACATTATATTTATCAGAAAGATTTGGTAGAAACTTCATTGCATACAACTGCATATGATGGTCCGTCCGCCAGTGGCTGCACTATGTAGCTGAAATGGATGATGCTGAACTTCTTAGTGAGTTATCGGATGGGAAAGCCGAGTCCGCCTCGGCGAAATACATTGGATATCTGAGAGAGGAAGGCTTAAATTGTCCTATTGTAATTTTTTGTTTGTGAAAAATAAGACTTGAGAGAAAATAGGAGGTTACAATCTCTAGAATTCCCTCTTGATCTAGATCATGAATTATGCACTTCAAGTTTAATTCTTGCTGCAAACACTTTATTAGTTGCCATGCGCAAGTGCAACTGCGTTGGCTTAAGTAGTATTATTGAGAACGTTTTAGATTATTGATTTGCCTTCTTTCTTGACCTGAAACCTCTTTAGAAATGCATGAATATTTGGAGCTTGTGTATGAAGTTCTTGTGGTTCATAGACGACCCTTGTGTTTCTGATTGAACTCTACACCTGATAGATTGTTAAGCAAACTGAAACATATATCACCAATAAGAGCTAAAACAAGGTTTCATCACACAAACATCATTTTAACACAATATGTTCCTGATTGAACTCTACAGCTGACCATTCTCAAGAACGGAGCAATTTCCCAACTGCTTCACCTTAAGCAAGACCATACACATTATTTGACATAAAAATAACTAGTAAAGATCAGATTCCTTGTGAGTATGAATCACACAATCTGATGTTGGGTAAGAAACACAGGTGAGCAAATAGCCTTCCTCTATTTGATTATCATCCAGAAAAGATCCATCAGATTGATCAACAGATCCCGATACAATCTTCCCAGCGCATGTTGAGCAAGCACCTGCCCTGCAAGAATAAGGGAGTTCGACTCCAGCATTCTCAGCTGCATCGAGGATGTAAGTATCCGATGGTGCCTCGAATTCATGCTCTACACCATCCGGACAAACCAACTTGACCTTGTACACTGCTGATGCTGATGCTCTAAAGGCACAGCTTGCTTTCAATCCAAAGGCTTTAGAAATGCTCCTCGCAGACCCTAGAGACAATGGGCTCTTAACAAAAACGCTCTTTCTTTGGGTCTGAGGAGCAATATTTACCACACAGGTGGCAGGAAGTCTGGCAGTTGACATGTTCACCTGATACAAAAGATAGCAGCTTAATTACTTAGAACACAGATTATTGAATTGATAGAGGTGCTAATGTTCAAGAAATAATGTCTTGTTGATGCTCAAATTCGTTCAATGCACTCTGCAGAATGCGGGCTGTTTAAATCAAAGTATTTAACTATTGAATCCAAATTCAAGATAAGACAAATGAAACTTGATTTATTACCTTCACTAATTCATGTTGCATATCAGGGAAAAGTGGAAAACTAAGTTATTGCTAGGGTTGACATTTCTGTTTTGTTTAACATAACAGTGAACTACGATATGAAGACCTAATTATTAACTAACAACTCTATAGATTGACATAGACCTGCTATCTGCAAGCCTAAAAAATTAGAGAACAATGACATTCAATAATGTATGCCCTGTGCTAAAATGAAAGAAATGGATACGGAATTGTCCATTTCAAGATAACAAGGCATTTAAATGTTTGGAGCATTATGAGAAGAAGCAAGCGAGTGGCATTCTGCTCTTCACTCGAAGCTCCATAAAATAAACTAAGTTTACATTAAGATATATGCAGCTTTTCTAATAAATGTAAAGTTCATCCTTAATAACATTTGAGGGCCAATGGCTGTGAATGAAAGAGAAGAAACAAAGATGCAGCTGACACACAATATGAAAAGGAAAAAAAAAACCACAAAGAGTTACAATTCCATGTTATGTTGTTTAAACATGAAATCAAGCTTATCAACAAAAAAGGCATCAAACTGAATTTAGAATCGGAAGAATTACGAAAAGTTTGAAACCACCCAAAATCCAGCTAGCACTCAAGATCCAACCTTTAATCATATACCAAAATAAATTCACCAGGAAATGTAAAGGAAAAATTGACAATTTCAACAATCAAAAGAAGAACAAGACAAACCCAACTATCAGAACTCATATGCAAAGTATAACACGAAACATTTATTACAGGAACCACACAAGCCCAGAACCATAACCCATAAGTTAAAAATTATAAATAAATAAATAAAGAGCTTTTTTTGTAAATTTGGACAAAGAACAGTGCTTAAAGTTAAAGAAAAACCTTACAGTTTGAGGATTAAGCGGAGTTATCAAGGAGAGGCTCAAGAAGACTCCAAAGAGAGCTATGTGTTTTGGGAAGAAAATGTAGTGTGTGTGTGTGTGTTAGGCTTCAATATATACCAGGAAGATTACAGTAGTAATATGATACCCTAATAAACCTACCGCCCATGGGTTTCTCTTTCCCACTATATTCGAATTACAACGGGCGTTGTTACTTATTTGCCCCTGCTACTTTTTTGTACTCTTTCCCTCAAACGTGCCTAATTCTTTGATTCCATTTGTCTGCCAGAACCGGAGAAAAAGGTAAAAGTTGCACGGAGCGTTCTATTTGGTCGCCTCCATTTAATTTATACTCATTTTTTTAAAATCTTTTAACTTGTATCCGCTTCTTAAATAACTTCAGCTCATTTTCTTCTCCTTCTTCTCCTCCTTCGTTTTCTTCTTCTCAACAAAAGACAAAATGCAGAGCCTATTTTTTTTATTGGTCTTGCGTCGAAAACTTCAGTCTGCTCATGTTACTTACTCCACTAGCTTTGTATGAAGCGGAGACCACACTATATTTCTTGTAATTTTGATGATTTCTGCTGCTATCCGTATATTTTGTTATTTAAATACCTGCTAACTATATTCCACTAGCTTTAAATGAAGCTGTGATCACACTTTATTTCTTGAGCTTTCGATCATTTCTGCTTCTGTTGTTAACAGTCCATGTGTTTTGGTTTTGCTAGCTATGCAAGAACTTACTGCTATAGTAGATAACCATCCTGATTCAGTTGCTATAACTGGCTATAGTTCTGGTTAATCTTTTGTTAGCGATGCAATCCATATCTTAAGTGTCTAGTTCTGTTGCAGACTAATAAAGCTTAAAGCTAACATAACAGTGAAGATGAGTATCATGTGTTATGTGCATTACAGAGAGGAAGTTAAAAGTAGCCAATTACAACACAAAAACTTCAGCTCTAGAGCTGAAGTTTCCCAGTTACAACACAAAAACTTCAGCTCAAGAGCTGAACTTTAGGCCCGGCTACTAGAATGCTGAAGTTTTGCGTGATTGCCTTTGCTAGTTCAGCCCCGTGTACTGAAGTTATGTGAAAAAGCGGGTACGCTTGCAATTTTTTTTGCAAAGCGAGCACAAGTTAAAATGTAACACAAAAAGCGGGTATAGATGCAAATTTCCCGAAAAAAAGTCTTCAATGGGCCACGGAAATATGGTTTTGCTATTTGTGTAAATATCCCAAAATTAATCTATACGTCTTCAAAGTCTCCACCGATTACTATCTTTTTGATAATTTGCTACGACCCATTATTCAGGTAAATCTTCAAACATTTTTACAACTGACATCTTCAAGATAAGAGGCAATTTGAGGGTGAGATTGGTTTCGACGGCCGTAGCAACTACACAACCAAGGGATTTTATACCTAATGCACTTAGCGGTTGTTTGGTAGAGTGCATTAGAGTAAATAATGCATGCATTAATTTTGTGTGTTAGTAATATTTTGTTTGGTACACCTTTTCAATCTAAGTATGGGTGTTCATGGTTCGGTTTGGATCGATTTTTCCCTTAAAAGAAACCAAACCAAGTAAGTCGATTTTTTAAATATTAGAATCAAACCAAACCAATTAAGTCGATTTTTTTTCGATTCGATTTATGTCGGGTTTTATCGGGTTTTCGGTTTTTTCGATTATTTGTCAGTTTTTTATTAAATATAAGACATACACTACCAAACACATATTCCGACGACCACATTTTCAACGTAACACTATCAAATCAATTGCCCTTTGAGAAATCTATTATTTACCAAGATATATTGATAATAATTGAATCAAATAGTGATGAATAATTTAGGACTCAATTAAAAATATATTATTTTTAACACAAAATGGATTCTTACACTTAACAAAAGAAAACTACCAATCAAACTAGAATGTAAAGGTAAAGAACTATACTAAAAGTGCAAACTATTACTAACATTTACCATTAAATTTTTGAAATTTTGTATAAAAATATACATATATATAGGTGTAATAATAAATTTGAAATAGCTACTCCTATAGTCGGTTTGGTTCGATTTTTTTTAGGTTTTTTTCTGATTAAAACCAAAACCAAACCAAATTTAATCGTTTTGAAATTCAAAACCAACAAACCAAAAGTGTAACCATTTTTTTGGTCGGTTTGGTTTGGTTCGGTTTTTCTTAGATTTTTTTCTGATTAAAACCAAGACCAAAACAAATTTGATCGATTTTTAAAATTCAAAACCACAACCAAACCAACCAAAAGGTATCGATTTTTTTGGTCGGATTGGTTTAATTTTACTATACACCCTATTTGGTATTATCCTATGTATAGCTAATGCATAGCAATACCAAGGCTATTAATGCATGCATTAGCATGGTTAAAGATAAAATTATCCTTAAAATCCCTTAAAGCTAAAGAATATATAGGGCATCTTTGAAAACAACTAATTTTCTTTAAAATTATGCAATGCATTTTAATTTTAATACCACACCGAACAATGAATAAGAAATAATCTCTACATAACTAATGCTTGCATTATTACCCATGCATTACTAATCTCTGCATTACTTTATTGAGCACTATTCTTATTGTGCCCTACCGAAGACCCCTTATTGTAAATGGCCGGTTAAGCTTGCTCTCCTAAATATCTTTTGTCCATTGTTAATTTAGATGCCAAACGCATATAAATACTGTAAAGCACTGATACTCTGTTTTTTTTTTACTTTCAGGCTACACGTAAAAATGCAAACTACTCGGCTGAAAAGATAAATAAGAAATTTAGAGAAATTGGCACCTAGGATGCTATGGCAATCACTGGTAACATCTTTAAAGAAGACAAAGTTGAAGCAAAACAATACCGAACAATGTTATAGTATTCAAACGGATAACCAGGACCACTACCCAAAAATTTCAGGAGTATCTATAGCTCACACACCCAAAATGCTGAAAACTTCCAACAGCAAAACAAAAATCGCCTTAAAAGACACGTTGTGGCTTTCCCATGGTGCTCTTCAAGTACAGGCACCTTACCTGCATTGACAACCAATTACACCAGATTAGAACTGAATTGAACAAGGAATGGAATTTTAAAAAAACATTGCATCAGTCGAGAAGAATATAGCAAATCTATATGGAGATGGCTAAACTAGGATGCCAAATGAACTCACATTTTGCCAATTCTTTTTCAGCAACGACACTAGAAAATTAACACTCATTTGCACATTCTGGAAGATCTGTTTTTCCTCCATATCCAAGTTTCCAACAGCAACTCCCATGCAAAGCACCTTTTTCAATTGAAACTTGATAGTAGCTTTGGTCTCATTAACCTTGGATTCAAGTGACTCCTGGTGTGAAACAAGACTCGGAAACTTGCCTGCATTTACAGTGAACAGAGCCAATTGAACATGAGCTTAAAGGTGAGCATATAGTCTGAAATAAGCCACCACAAGGACATTGAATAGTCCTGACAGTAACTAAGAGATGCAAGTTCTCCTGAATGAGAAAAGCAGCAGCCCTGAACTAGCAGTACATACATTCAAAGCATTAAGAGAATCTATTAACTTACCCGCCTTGTTCAGGCCGGGCCCCAACAAACGAGGAATCTGCTTGATGACAGACTCTGAAGCCAAGAAAGCATGGTATTTCTTTGCAAGCTTCTTAACCAATTTCTTATTTTTGTTAAGCTTTTTCAAGCTTTCCACATCCATGTACTCCAAACCTATCTTTTCTGCCTGCAGACATATGGTACCAAGTGTTAATCATCTTTTCAAAAACAAAATGAAGATTCAGGAAAGATTCCAACACATGTAACTTTTGGGGCAATCTGAAGTAGCCACAAAATTTCAAGAGTGAAGACAACATCAATAACAAAGGCTAAATGGTCGACATTAAAAAGCCACGACCAATGAATCAAGAAAAAAGACTTTCTAAACTATGATAACCACATCAACGAGCTAATTCACCAAGGAGGTCCACCAAATGGAAGAAAAATGGTCATTGAACAATAGATTCTTCTAAGCTAGGATGCACCTAACTTCCAAACTAATTGCATTTCCAAGATATGAGAAACTAGTATTGGAAAAAGCTAAAACTATCCCGGATTTATGTAGAAGAACTACACCAAAGTAACAGGATAAGTGCAGACAAATACAGCTAGTGAACACAACACACTCTCAGAGAAAGCAAAAGGCATATGTAATCATAGGTGAGCAAACGAACGTAAACATATTAGAAGCTTTTTTAATGACAAATCAAATCATCTCGTTATTAAGCTAAATCACACAAGCAGTAGTTATTCAATCAGTAAAAGCTTTTACCAGCAGTATTTGCAACTGTTAGCCTATCTGCAAATATTGTTTGAAATTGTCCGTGCAGTCATTGACACTAGTTAAAAAGTGCAGAAGGATTACCTCCTCAACGTGCTGAGCATCTCCAAGCATACAAATCTTCATTTTAGGGCGAGGAATGTGGGGCAATTTAACGGATCCACTGAAACGTTTGTCCTTTTGGGGATCATAGTTCTTCAGCCCGATCTGGAGCTCAATAGTCTCAGTGAATTTTCTTTTCTTCTCTGCACAATCATTCTTAATCACAGAGATGGCTTCTCTAAGGGCATCGCTCTGAAGCTTACTGTAAAGCAATCGTATCAAAGATAAATACATGTATTCAACAATACCATAAAGAACTATCAAGATCATCAAGTTTGCAATGTTCTTGAAAAACATATTGCTAGACAAACAAATTGTGCCACTCTTTCAATTAACACGTTCATGTAATCTTCACTATCAAATAACCTATGATTCTCCAAATAAACGGAAGGATTTTGTAAAGGTATAAAAATAGATATCATTATTTTTTTCCGATATACATATCAAGCAATCTCCAAATCTAAAAGAAGTGGAATCTTCCCCTTTAAATGAAGAACTAAAATAAACAAATACTGACAAATTCAGAAAAATATCTGTCTCTTACTTTAATTATAAAGGCGACGATGTCAAATTATCGATCTGAAACTAGGTTGTTTAAAAAAATGCACTCTAGGAAAGCTTAAATCAATTTCTGCTAACAAACGGAAAGTGCAGAAAAATAAATTATTAGACCAAACATGGACTGAGATAACATATTCAGAGAAGTAGATAACACATTGAGAACAGCAGAGAGAAGTTTGGAGGTTCAGTCATACCTCATGGCTCAAAATTCTTCTCCTTCAAACTTCACTGTCAAAAAAAAATCACAAAATAGAAAATTTTCAGCTTTATCAGCAGCTAAAGAAAAGTAACCAAATGCTTAATATCCTTAATCAGTAGATCCAAATTCAAAACCCTAGAAATGATGCATCTGTGTATATGAGAGAGAGGTGGATGCGAAGGTAGTAAGTTACCTGTAAGAGAAAACCCTCGATTAGGGTTTGGTTCAGTGGATTGCTATCTACTTAAAGGGCTGCAAGTGGACCGGGGTCGAGCGAAATGGTACAAAAACTGGGCTATCTCAGCTAGCCCATTAATGTATGGAAAGCCCAAAACCCAAATAACCCCAATTCTGAGTTTGGTTTTGTTCCTTTTTTTTTTTTTTTTTGGTTCGTTTCAAATCTTTCTTTTTATTTTGTGTTCAAGGAGTACTAAATTGAAAATTATATTTGTCATGTTAATTTGTTTCTAGTTTGGTTGCAATTTTCTAGTTTTTCTGAACATTAGATAGGACTAATGGGAAGCAGAACATATTTGCTTTATTATTTTTAATAGCACGAAATGATAAAAAAAGTTAACATGGAAAGACTATATTTTGACACTTAACTCTTATTTTTTAGAATTGACTGCCAGTTACACTTATTTTTTAGTTATTGTTCTCTTTGGTGTGCTCATAATCGAGCTACATTGTACTATGACATGAGCACATGAACCATCACAAGAGACATCGTCCAAAACTAGTGTAGGTTGTGTAATCTCTATACATTACTCATGGTTTGGAGAGGAAATTTTTTTGTTAGATCAATTCAAAATCATGCTTAAAATAGAAACATCGATCATAAATGGAATCAATCTCATGTGTAGAAGACCTGTTTGGTCATGCAATTCAATAAAAGTTAGCTAAATTGCTTGGATATTTTTGTAAAAAAAGTTTTTGGTTAATTATGCTACTTTATGTGGATAACTAAAAAATGAGTGCATTACTTTTGGTTACATAATTGTGATTCTATATTGAATCTCTTCATTTTTTATTATTTTTCGTATGAAATTGTTGGTATTATTCCTCTTTAGGCGTTATACTCTAATTAGATAATGCGAAGAATAAAGAACTTCTAATTCACAATTAATTTGTGTTAATTCTCATATCTCTCCACCATTAATTTTTGTAACATGTCTAGATTGTATGTATATGCAGAGTGGGAGAACGAAGTTACTACTTCATAAATGGTCCACATTCATTCATATGACAGTTTCTTAATTTTTGTCACTTCGTTGTGAAAAGATATTAGCTTTTCAGAAGGTTTGAAGTTACTGTCTTTATGATAATTTTATCATTAAACCAAGAATAATGTTACATAACATTAACTCTCATTTGGCTTCTTAAATTTTTCTTATGGAAGAAAACGTAGATAATTTGCCTGTATAAGCATCATCATTTGTGAACTAAATGATCACCATAATATATTTTCTCTCATCCTCTCAAAAGACTATTTTTTTTTTTGCAAACTACAAACTTTCAGCCACAAGTGCACATGTTTGGGAGTATTGTGGAACCTTGGGGAGCGACCGGTCTTAACGATTTGCACCCAGTCGGACCAAATCACTTTCAAGGAATGGCTTGCCATGACACAGTATTTGTTCGATAAGTTATTTCTATTTTTTTATAATTCTTGGTCAATATTATCAACTATTTTCTAACAATTTTATAGCGATTTCACATATAATATTGATCAATGGCTATCATTTTAAATAAAACTCTTCCAGATCTGTCAAAGCTTGAGCCTTTTGATGGAAACAATTATGAGCGTTGATCCCATAAACTTTTGATTTTCTTCGAACAATTAGAAGTTGATTATTATATTTTGTTCGACGAACATTCTGCTAATGTTGTTTCTAATACTATTATTGTTGTTGATGGTTCTAACTACTGCTGCTATTGTTGATGATGATGCTAAAAAGAAATTCGAAAAAGATAATAAAATTGTTCTAGGGCATCCGCTTAACCATATGACTAACCCTTTGTTTGATTTATTTATAAATTATAAATCTACTAAGGTCATATGGGACAGCTTGGAGAAGAAATATGGTCCAGATGCGGGAAAAAGAAGTATGTGGTTGGGAAGTGGATCAAGTTCCAAATGGTTGATGATAAGCCAATTATGGAGCAGGTTCACGAGTATGAGAACTTGACTGTTGATGTTCTGAACGAAGGCATGGAGATGTGTGAGATTCTTCAAGCTAATGTTCTGCTTGAAAAGCTCCCTCATTTCTGGAGTGATTACAGGAACCAACTCAAGCACAAGAAGACGAACTTATCTCTCCAAGAACTGATCAATCACATGAGGACTGAGGAAGCAAACTGTCTCAAAGATGACGAGGTAGAACGTCTTAAGGATAAGATGAAATCTCTCTCTCTCTCTTAATTCTTCTAAAGCTAATTGTCACGACCCAAACCGATGGGCCGCGACGGGCACTCGGTACCTTACTCAACCAAGTACCAACATAACGTATCTTTCATATCATTCTATCATAGGTAAATGAACCGGAGTAAAGCATGAGGGAATACAAACTTATACATTTGCAGTACGGGCCTATAAGGCCAACATGATTCTGTATATACTCGAAACATAGGCCGACAAGGACATACAAGTATCTGTATACATGACATCTGTCTACAAGCCTCTAAGAATACGTAATATCATAAAGGTTGGGACAGGCCCCGCATACCAATTAATACATGTACTAATCATACTGACCAAATAGGCAACTCCGGAGCAAATAGAGCGCAACAACACCTTTCGCCGAGCTGATAGCTTACTTTGAGGACTCATAACCTATCTATCGGGACCTGCGGGCATGAAACGCAGCGTCTCCAGGCAAAAGGGACATTAGTACAAATAATGTACCGAGTATGTAAGGAATGAAAATCAGTAAATAATAAACATGAGAAAAATATGGAGTAAAAGACTCGACATGTACGTTTGCGCAGCTCGTTAAATCGTTTTATTTTTTTATAATGTCACGCATATGCATATAAATGTCATACCATGCATGGGTATATGTGTTCATAACATCATCAAGCCTCTGAGGGCATCCCATCATATTATCTCGGCCATTGTGGGCAAATCATCAACCTATACCAGTTGATTGGTGGTGGTACGTATATAACGCCATAACCTTTCCCATATCCCATATACATATAATATACATATATACGTGTATATAACGCCACCTGGTCATGTGTCAATGTAAATGAATGCAATGCATGAGAAGTACGTCAATAAAATCTCTCGAAACGTCATAAGACCATTATACCTCTGATTAATATCATGAAACAAACTTTATCAACTTACGTATTTTCTGATACCCATGAACAGACGATAGAATAATAAGACATATGGGAATTCAAGAACATAGGTATCTCTAATACTTCTATGAATAGAGTCATTTATGAAAGTTATGCATTTGCTCGTTTTATTCATGTCGTATAGATCATGCCAAAAAGAAAGAAGGGATAGCCTTAACATACCTGAGTCGATTCTCTTGGAAATCCCTTTAACATACATTAATTGTGACAACACGTAACGGCAAGATCGGAGTAGGAAAAAATCTGTATGATATTCTTGAGAAAGACTACACCGTACTCCATTATAATTGCAAAATCTCACTTTAATTTGAATTGATGAAGTCTCGCGTTTCTTGGATTGTAAGGTTTTCTATGTATGCTTGAATTGTAATGTTCTGAATAACGTTTGTTACTTTTTTGGATTGTAATTGAATTGTAAGGATTTTAAAAGAATGTCTTTCCTAAAAAGAATAAGGTGACTCATATTCCCATATCATGCCACCTATTAGTAATGACTTATGAGTCATTTTAAATTAAAGGAGGGTCTGCCATCTCATACTTGTTAAACACTTATCTAATATATCCCCCAATTAATTAGGTAATGTTCCGATACCCGATAATTAACCAATTACCCGCATAATTAAGAATTGTATCAAGTTACTTAAAATTCTACTTATTTTTAATTCCCTTATATATATCATACCATCATGGTCATATGGTACCTTGTATGGCACTAGTTCATAAATATCGTGTTTTAACGCTGGGCCCGTATTTTATCCCAACATGCCAAACTTGGACGAAAATTCATTTTCTTTGACTTGCTTCCCCTCTCACCTTCACGAATTTACTCATCACTTGTTTGAAATAGCATAATCCTTATAATCTCCAAATAATCTTTTCCTTGGAATGATGTCAATTACCTTACGACAAATTTAACGTACAATACTACAGGGTGCAACATCGTCGTAATTTAATACTGTGAAGCGTAACATCATCGTGATGTAGTATTGCAAGGCGTAACATTATCGTAATATAATACTGCGGGACGAAATATCGACGTAATATTGCGAGGCGTAACACTAATCTTGTGGAATCTGCTGGTACTTTTGTGAAAGACAGGTTTAAAGGCAAAACAAAAGAAAGGCTAGAAGAAGGGATATGTGAAGAAGCAGAATAACTTCAATAAAACCAGAGGGCCAAATCCAAAAGTCAAAACGACCTTGTTATATCTGTGGGAAAATTGGTCACAAAGCTTTCTAGTGCAACCAAAGACAAGGACAAAGCTCAAAGCATAGAGGGAAAGCTCCAATCCAAGCTAATCTTACTGAAAATGGTGATGTAATTGTTGTTGTGGTCGTTGAGGTAAATATGGTGTCTAACAAGATTGATTGGATACTGGACACATGCGCTTCAAGACACCTTTGCGCCAACAAGGAATTGTTCCATGACTTTGAGAAGTCTATCGATGGCGAATGTGTCTACATGAGTAACTCCACTACGTCTGGAGTTATGGGTAAAGGAAAACTTCTTCTTAAGTTAACTTCTAGAAAAAATTTAACCTTGAATAATGTTCTGTACGTTCCCTCTATTCGTAGAAACTTAGTTTCTGGTGCACTTCTCAACAAAGCAGGCCTTAATCTTATATTTGAATATGATAAAATTATTATTTCTCGTGGAGGAGACTTTGTTGGGAAGGGTAACCTCAACGGAGGTTTATTTATACTGAACATTATTCATGAGATTACTAGTAATACAAGTATTTCTAATTCTGCTTATATTGTTGAGTCTATTGATTTATGGTATGGTAGGCTAGGTCATATTAATATTGCTTCTGTAAAAAGACTTAGAAAAATAGAATTAATTCCTGCAGTTAATGTTTATAATTTTTTTCTAAGTGTCATATTTGTGTAGAAGCAAAATACACCTAAAAGCCTTTTAAAAATGTAACGTGGAAAGACAGAATTGCTTGAACTAGTACATTCAAACTTAGCTGATTTCAAGAATACTGTTAGTAAGAGTGGAAAGAAATACTATATCACTTTTGTAGATAACTTTTCGAGATACACTAAGGTATATCTTCTTAAGTCTAAGGATGATGCTAAAAGCATGTTTTTAAAATACAAAGCAGAAGTAGAAAACCAACTAGACAGGAAAATCAAGAGACTTAGGTCTGATAGGGGTGGTGAATGTAGTACTAATACTCTAGAAGCTTTTTGTGAGAAAAATAGTATTATACATGAGGTTAGTGCCCCTTATACTCCCGAACAAAATGGTGTAGTCACGAAAAATAAACCCTCAAAGAAATGATGAATTTTATACTTTTGAGTTCATATTTATCTGACAGATATAGAGGGATGTTGTTTTATCTACGTGTTATATTCTTAATAGAGTCCCTCATAAGAAGTTAGATAAAACTCCTTATGAGTTATGAAAAGGATTTTCCCCTCACCTGAAATATCTCAAAGTGTGAGGGTGTTTGGCTAAGGTTGGTCTACCTGATTTTAAACAAGTAACTGTAGGACTCAAGACTTTTAATGCCATTTTTATTGGTTATGCTCAGAACAATGCTGCATATAAATTTCTATCTTTGAATGATCATTCTATTTGTGAATCTAGAGATGCAGAATTGTTTCAACATGTTTTCCATTGAAAGATAATGTTCCTACTGATGTGCCTAATAATACTTCTATATCTATGTCTATTAATTTTTATCTTGTGCCTTCTTCTAGTATTGCTGCTAATGATCATGAAAATGAACATAGGAGGAGTAAGAGACGTAGAATTGAAGCTAGCTTTAGTCCTGACTTTATCACTATCTTCTTAATTGAAAATATTGATCTTGATCTTTTGAATTATGAATTAGTGTCTACCTATTTAATAGAAGAAGATCCTAAGACTTATAATGAAACAATGATGTCAATAGATGCTAATTTTTGGAAAGAGGCATTAAAAGTTGAAGTAGACTCTATGGTTTCTAATCACACTTGGGACTTGTCTGATTTGCCTAATGGTTGTAAACCCATAAGTAGCAAGTAGATATTTAAGAAGAAATTGAGACCTGATGGTACAATTGCGAAATATAAGGCTAGACTTGTTATTATGGGTTTTAACCAAAAGAAAGGCATTGATTACTTTGATATTTATTCTCCCGTGACTAAAACTACAACTGTTAGAACTCTTGTTGGCTTAGCCGCTATCCATAATTTAGTGATACATCAGATGGATGTTAAAACAACTTTTCTAAATGATGATTTAGAGGAAGATATCTATGTGACTCTACCTGAGGGTTATGTGATCTAATGACATGAGAATAAAGTATGCAAATTGAGAAAGTCTCTATATGGTCTTAAAAAAGCACCTAAGTAATGTTATGAAAAGTTTAATATCACACTAGTAAATCATAGGTTTGTTGTTAATGCATCTGATACTTGTGTTTATTCTAAGATAGTAGGATCAAATTGTGTGATTATACGTCTGTATGTGGATGACATGTTAATTTCTGTCCCTATGTGGATATTGTAAATGAGACTAAGAATTTGTTGTCTTCTAAATTTGAAATGAAAGATCTTGGAGAAACATATGTAATTTTAAGGATTAAAATCAAAAGAACCGCTAATGTTTTTTCATTGTCTCGGTCTCATTATTCAGAAAATATTGAAAAGATTTGATTGTTTTGATGTACCCCCTGTGATAACTCCTTATGATCCTAGCATACACTTGAGAAAGAATAAAAAATCTAGTATTTTTCAAACTGAATATGCTAAGATAATTGGTAGTATAATATTTTTCATGATACACGACATGATATTGCTTATGCTATTAGTAGATTGAGTAGATATACTCACAACCCTAATAGTGAATATTGGAATGCTCTTCATCGTTTGCTAAGGTATTTGAGAGGTACTATGGATTGTTGTTTGTATTTTAATAAATTTTCTGCTTTTTTTGAAGGATTTTATGATGCAAACTGGGTTACTAATAATGATGAAGTTAGCTCCACTAGTGACCATGTGTTTACTTTGGGTGCAGGTGCTATTTTGTGGAAGTCTCTAAAACATACTTGTATAGCACGTTCGACCATGGAATATGAATTTATTGCTCTTGAGTTAGCAGGACAAGAAGCTGAATGACTAGAAACTTATTGGCAGACGCGCCTTTGTGGGGAAGACAAACTTCACCAATTCTTTTACATTATGACTCACAAGCGGCAATTGGAATTGTCAAGACATATCCGCATTAGACATGGCGCGGTGAAAGAATTATTGAAATATAGTGTTATTTCCTTGGAATATGTAAGGTTCGAAAGAAATTTGGCGGATCCTTTAACCAAGGGTTTGGCAAGGAGAATTATCCTTGAAACATCGAGGGGGATGGGGCTAGTGTCCATGGATTGAGGAAGTATAGTGGTTGCCCATTTGTGGTCAAATGAAGCCATATGAGACTTCAATATGCACTATATTTCCTATCCCTATGGCATGTGGTAGTGCTTTATAAGGTTAAGCCTATTTTGCTTTAAATGATTCCATAACCTTAAGGTGGTCTATATGCTGATAGACTTGATGGAGTCACCTACGTGAGTGTAATGGTGCGGTCGCCTTTTATGAAAGACTTGGGATGTCTTTCTAGAGCACTCATGAGACCCAAGGTGTGCATGACCATAAAAGCACTTTGTTAGTATCGCGGAGTTTGCATAAAATTAAGGATATAGTATGTGTCAAGAGGGTCTCAACTCATGTCCATTCGATTCAAGAGTACTTCGCTTTGTGGATATTAGCCGTTGCCTTATTTCACTACGTGGCAATTCAAATTGAAAGATATTATAACACTTAAGTACATGTTCCTTCCTTTTGCCCAGAAATTATTCTTATTCTTTATCTTTGCATTAGCGGGAGATTGTTGGTGTTATTCTTCTTTAGGCATTATACTCTAATTAGATAATGCAAAGAATAAAGAACTTCTAATTCATAATTAATCTGTGATTAATTCTCATACCTCTCCGGCATCAATTTTTGTAACATATCTAGATTGTATGTATATGCAGAATGGGAGAATGAAGTTACTACTTCATAAATGGTTCACATTCATTCATATGACAGTTTCTTAATTTTTGTAACTTCGTTGTGAAAAGATATTAACTTTTCAGAAGGTTTGAAGTTACTGTCTTTGTGATAATTTTGTCATTAAACCAAGAATAATGTTACATAACATTAACTCCCATTTAGCTTCTTACGTTTTTCTGATGGAAGAAAACGTAGATGATTTGCCTATATAAGCATCATTATTTGTGAACTATATGACCACCAAAACATTTATTCTATCATCCTCTCAAAATACTATTCTTCTTCCTATTTTCCTGGCAATCTTTTTTTGCAAACTCCAAACTTTCAGCCACTAGTGCACGTCTTTGGAAGGCACTGTGAAACTTTGGGGAGCGACTGATCTTAACGATTTGCACCCAGTCGGACTAAAATCCATTTCAACAGTATTTGTTCGATAAATTATTTCTATTCTTTCATTATTCTTGGTCAATATTATCAACTATTTTTCTAACAGAAATCCCGTACAATAATCCTATCGTACAAGCTTGAATTGAAACATATGCAAAATAACTTTTAGGCACCTTTCATAATTTTTGATTTTTCTTTCTTTGAAAACTTCTTAAAAACAAAAATTACATGTTTTTGTATCTCGAAAACATATTCCAAAAAATCTCCAAAAACCAAAATAAAGGGTTGCCAAAGTTGAACGGGTCTAATGGACATTTTAGAATCGAGTAGTATTTTTAGAATAAAATATAAACAATCATCGCATTTCTCTACGTTCCGATTTCTCTTCCGAAGGAGCAGAGCTAGAAATCTCCTGAGAAAGCAATGGAGACAGCAGCCAGAAGAAGCAGAGGCGGCCTATTTGAAGGGCTTTACAGAGTGCTTATGCGCCGCAACTCTGTTTATGTCACCTTCGTCATCGCTGGCGCTTTCCTTGGTGAACGGGTCCGTCTTCTTCCTTTTGTACATATACGTATAGCTGTATTATTCCTATGTGTATTTCTATTACTTGTGTTATTTTTGTGTGTTTAAGATTGGATCTGATTCATGTGATGCAAATTTTTATCAGATGTGTCAGAGTTTGATTTCAGTTTTACTAATTTCAGGCAGTGGATTATGGGGTTCATAAGCTCTGGGAGCACAACAATGTTGGGGTATTAATTTATTTCTTTTTTCAATTCATCCTAGGAACTTTTTATGAAAAATGTTATTTTTATATTCTCTCATCAATCTTATCATTTTTTTCCTTGTTTTATTTGGAGTTTTGAGAGTTTGTTGTGCTATTTGGTACTTCAAAACGCTGTCTAAAATGGGTTATGCAAGTGCGATAGTTTATTAGGGTTCTAATTAGAATGGATGTGTAGGGAATTGTTGTTTTTAAACTCTATGGACAGGGTGTTTTCAGTTAAATGTAAAAGATTATTGACTTCACCTACTATCACCAGCTGTGTTGTAACTCTAATTTAGATTATTGGCCAATAAATTTGAAAGTGAAAGCTAAAAGAGCTTCAAGTACAACCTACACATCCATTCTAAGTTAACTATAAAAGATTATTGTACTTGAAGCTCTTTTAGCTTTCACTTTCAAATTTATTGGTCAAAGACGGTGAACGTAGTCCTTGACATGCTAACCAAGTGACTAAAATTGTGACTTTGCTTGCAATGTATATGGTCTACATGCATCCTTAATCTGAATTTGAAGAACATTGTCTTACTTTATCATTCTCGTTCCTCCATTCCCACCCTTTTGTGTTTCAAAATCTGATTCTGTCATCTTTTCTCTTTTGTCGGAATCTTTTTCCCTCTTCTCCGGTCTTTCCAATTCTCGTTCTTCTAGCTGCTGCCAGCTCCTCCTCTTCTTCTATAATCTGGTCCTTCTTTTGCAAATTTCCCCTTCTTCCGCCTCTGATCTTTCAACTGTTGCTATTTTCTACTATGTCACTACTGCTGCTGAAATTTACTTTGTTCTCCTCCTCCTAAAGAAAAGTTGATATCTGACATCATCTATGGTCTTCAATACCAATTTAAGCAAAAGTCTTGAAGAACTCAAATTTTGGACATTTGTGCAGAAGTTTTTTCTAGAAAGCATTCCAGTGGAAAGAAAATAGGAGGAAAATCAATAGATCAATCAATCAACTATACCTCAATTCCAAATTAATTGTGGATGGCTTTATGAATTGTGTTTATCCACTACGGCCTATTCAAGTCCATCTACTTCCAATTTTATCCATCTTTCAAGGAAATTAGGAGTTCTCTAAAACTAGAGGTTCTCTAAATCTCATACTTATCCCTACTCGGACATACACGTCTCTAACCAGAGTAAGAAGACTCTCAACATCACCAGGCGCAACTCGTAGCTAGACTACTTTTATACCATCAAACTACCGCTATCCAAGTTTGAGACCATTTATACTTTGCAAAGTACGGAGTTAATAGGAGGAAAATCCATGATTTTTCTAAGAAAGCAAAGTATAATGTTCTGACTTGAATGTTGAATGTCCGATTTGCTTGAGAATTAAGACTTAGAACTGGAAAAGAAGGGGTGGGGGGGATCATCTGTTATCACTCAGTAACTGCTTTAGGTGTCAATGACGCCGCATCATATGTAACATATAACTAATATTATGGAAGTAATTTAAGTAACAACCTTGACTCCAAACGAGCTAAACAACCTTGGCTCTCGCTAAGTATAAAAAGCCTCAAAATAAACAACAACAAAAAGAAAATTTAAATTTTGAGCTGCATAAGGTATGCTTCACCATCAGTTTTAGTTAAAAATAAAAATAGATTTCTCTTCATTACGTACTTTATCATAGTCTTAACAGGTTTCCTGGTTTTGTATAGATTATTGAGAAGTGGCTGGCCTATGATGCTATTGAGAATTTAATTTTCCTGTTCCATTTAAATTTCTAGCTCGCATTGCAAAGCATGATGAACTTTTTGTTCATTCTAGTATTTGTTTATTTCCTAGGCCATGCCTCTTGCTCCTAGTGTTCTTTTCATTTTTGTTCTTTCTGGGCTTGTGTCAATTTTGTAACTCAAGTTTTTGTTGTTGTTGAAATACAGAAGCGTTACGAGGATATTTCAGTATTGGGACAGCGGCCGTCTGAATAAATTTGCTGTATTCAATGCTCATTTGAGTCGAAGACAAACATTTCAATTATCTTTCAATAATTATTTTCTTGCCATGCTGGTCATGGCTGATTTTTTTTTTTTTTTTTTTATATCTGCTGATCTTTGGAGGAAAAGAACAGCCTTTGCATTGTTCTGTAACCTTGCAATTATCTTCTATTGCCAGAATGCTTCAATGCATTAGGAAAGAAGAATGATTCATTTAGATATTTATTGTGCCTTGGAGGAAATTGTTAAAGCTGGTACATACCACTTCCTTGGTAGCAAAGAACAGCCTTCAATACTCTGTTACCTTGCAACTTTCTGGTTTTCTCACCATGCTTAAAAAACAAGATGAAAGAACCTTCCTTTTTCATACTAATCAAGACTGTACAGTAATCCATAAATGGATGAATTTGCTCCTTATGTTAGAAAGCTTGGGACGAACATAAATCTAGCCTGCTTAGGAATCATTTTTCATTTGAACTCTGCAGCATTGCTTGAAAAGAGCATTACTTCTTTCTACCACCCAAAGATCTTGGCTAAGTAATAAAATCCACTTTTGCTTCTTGAGTCAAGCTTACTTTTAGACTCTGTATCTATTTGATCTTGTTTGGCGTCTTTGATGTCTGAATTTTATCTTATTTTCTACTACTACCTGCTCTTGATTCCAAGTCTTGAACTTATGAACATTTGGAAATTAAAGCCTGAAGAGCTAACATTACTCTTATTGGAGCTAGCAATTCACCCAAGGAAGAATAATCCATCCGCAAGATCGCAACCTGAGAAAATCCTCGTGGCCCCAATCTAAACCCTAAACCCTAAAACCTTACTAGCAACTTCCTTACAACGCCTCTTCGGCATCTCACTTCCTCATGCTAATGAACATTCTTTTCGGAGGGGGAAAGGAAGGGGGGGTTCATATTTCTGTGGTTATTTTCACTTATTTCATGGAAAGAACTTGTGGTTGAGCAAAATATTCCATCTTTGGGTTAGAGAAGAGATCATATGAAAAACAGAATGTGAAACCTGAAGGCTTAAGCAGTTAAAATGTGCAGAATTGACATATTCTCACTGTTGATAAATAGATGGTCCGTCAATTGCAAAACAGCTTTTCACTGAAACAGAATTGAACTTAATAGGAACAAAATGCAGTAAGAATGTAGTACAAAATCTGCAAAGGTTTTTAGGAACTCTGGGATTTACCAAAACAAAGAGAATCAAAATTGATTAGATGAAATTTGAGGTAGATCAGGAAAAGATGAAGAAAAGAACACGTTATGTAACGTCCTCCATATATCATTACAAATTTCTGCCCTTCAAAAACAAGACTCCTGTAGAAGTCTTCACACATCTGATAGCAATATTCTCAATGTCTGTAAATCAAAGGTTAGTCAAAGCCTTGTCGAAGATTAAATATATACTTGAACCGTATTATCTAACGCATCGGGAAAGAAAACAATATGAATTAGTAGCTACAAAACTTTAATTGGTAGAAAAATGCCGTTCATGTCCAACGTCCAGTACATTTCCTACTCATACAAGAATGCTGAATACTTGTCAAAAATCAACATCTGCTAGTCTTGATGTTATGAAATTGCAGGATACTTGATTAACATTGCGCCCAACGCTCATTTGTCCAAACAGAGATGACATCTTTCTCATTGGTTAAGCTTCTCAAATTACCGAAGAAGTTTTGAAATGATACAAGCTTGAAGATGGAAACCTTCTTTTGTTTAACTTCTTAAATCACTGAAGAGAGCTTCAAATGATAGCAATTCAAAGAGATTGAGGACAGATTCTCATTCACTCTTTACAGCATGGTAGATGTGACGAATAAACATCAAGGAAGCATGTATACTGATTGTTCCAAGCATAAGGAAAAATGCATAGCATATGCAAGTGTTATATACAAAGAAGATGGTAGTTTGCAAGACCCCGCTCATGTTTGATTTGCAGTAGAAGAATATGGAGTAGGCAAACATAAATACAGCTGTTGAGCCCCCACGGAAAATAGACCTGCATCAAACAACATATTTATCAGTCTATGGAGGCAACCATAGATGTTGTAAATGAGCTAGCAAATAAGAAGATGAATAGCAAGCAGCAACTTAGTAAATTAAGTTACATATCAGTAATTTCTTAATAATTGTTTGAAACTTTAATTTTTTTGGAACACGTTGAACTTTTGACTCCAGGTTTACATTTCACTCAACATATACATTGATCCAGCACATATGGGGGTTCAACGACTGTTCAATAATACTCAGTTGTCATCCATTTCCGTAACACACAAAATACTCACAGCATCATTGATTCCATGAATCACTCAATATTGTCATAAAACACAACAACGTAGTTACTGCATTGAAGCAAATAAGAAATCATTCAACATTTGAAGAATTTTGCGGATAGCCTCCACTGTGGTTAGTACTGGGTACTAAGTTCCTGATAGTGCAAATATTATCTGCATATTACCATTCTGCCTTATGATTTTGTTGAAATATGAAGTAAAACTAGGTTAAGGAGAAACTGTATCTTTTAATCCCATAAAAGTCGAAACGAATTCAACCAGAGCTCCATCAATTAGCACTCAAAGAACGAAAAGAACAAAGATATACGTACCAAAAACAAAAAAAAAAAAAAAACAAAGATATAAAGATGGACAAGATGTGTATGCATGCAGTCTTCAGGTATGACTAGTTCAAAGAAATATTCAAATTGATACATACCGCCACCACCATTCATGGTCTTCCACTGTCAGCTGAATGTATGTCAAACTGATGCTTAAGATCACAGTGAGCATTATGAGGATTATAAACATAAAAAATAGAATACCAGGAAGAGTCGAAATTTTGTAGCCCCAAAGGGTTGCATACAACTGGTGTAACTCAACAACAATGGCGCTGAATGGTAGAAGACCAGCCAGAAACATTTGACCAGGTGTCTTCCTGTACCAAGCTAGTGATGGGATCTCTCTTGCACACTTTTTTGTGGCGGAAGGTGCTTGAAACTCAGACCTACACTGATAGCCAATTATCCCACCAAGAGCAAGCAGTGGCATAGCAATGAGGGTATAAACAAGAACAATGACAAGTGTAGTGCCAAATGGAATTGCTAAAGTAGCCCCAAATGAAGCAGCGACTAAATTAAGGAAAAACTCCGTTAAGAGGAATGGTCCAAGAAAGAGCACGGCAGAGAAAGTAACGCTCCTTTCCTAGTGGCGAAAAGAAAAAATTTCAGTTCCTGGATTAACAGTAATTATAGAAATACAAAGCTGGAGAAATTAATAAGTTACCCATCCAGTTTCAACAAATTGACTGTAGAAAGCGGCAGATCTGTATCCAGCAACTGCAGATGTAAGGGTATAAATTATGACCAAGGATGTGAAGAGAGTTCCACGGTTATATGGATATAGGACACCAAGAAACGCCAAAACAAATAAGCAGAAGAACCTGTAAATGCAGCAGAAACCATTAACTAAAGCCAAAGATGTGCCTTGCATGATCAATTAAGTAATATAAATACGTCAAAATAATCATGCAGTAAACACCACCCTTACATGGAAGTATTTTTGCAGATGATGGAAACCATACCAATTATTTAGAGAATACATAGGACCTTTTCCATATCTAAGCTCTTATTGTCAAGGTTAAACAAAAAAAATTCTCAAAGCTATCTTTCTATTATTATTTCTAAATTACCAGAACAACGCAGAGAAGATAACTGAAGCTGATAATATGCAACAATTGGTGGGATAACATTGTTACCAAATATGAATCGCGAAGGCAATGTAAGAGTTTGTCTGGAAAATGAAAGATCGCTGATGGAAGCTGGACAAAATAGAGCTCACCTGCCAGGGCCTCCAGGTATATTTTGTTAATGGGATTGGTTGGGATTGAGAATTGGTAAGATGGGTAGGGCTCAAAATAAAAGAGCAATGCGGATGTGGGTTCTATAAGACGGTCAGGTGGACAGCAACAGGTATAAGAAATTGGCCAAGATGTAGAATTTAAGTTGGTAACTAGCTGGCTTGAGCGTTGCAGTTTGACCTGTTGATTTGCCAGATTCTCAGTTTGGATTTTTCTTTCCGTTTTTCATTTTTGCCTGAAGGTCCAAGTCACATCGCAGTAAAATTTCTCTTCAATTTGAAGACGAGGCAAGTCCCCAGCAACCAGTCTAAAACGAGGGAAGACCGACATTCAGGAGGCTTTACCCGCATCACCATCACCATTGCTCCATTAGTGGCTCAAATAAGTAGTCAATACAAATGCATGTGACTAAGAGATGATGGGGAGGCAACTCTTAGAACTAGACCTCCATAAATGTACTTTGTTCAGAAAATACGTCGCAGAATAGAGCCTAGAGATACAGCATCTTGAGTTAAATATCACAGGCCCAAACTTATGCACAGAGATCTTCTCTCAATGATAAGTCGGAAAAGAAATAGAAGATGGCTCACTGGTCATATCAAAATGAAACGAACAACTATTATCAGTTCCCTACAGAGAACTTAATGAACTTATGAAATCATCTGATGAATAAATGAGTGTTACAGCTTACAAGGTCAACAGCTGGGTACCAGCACCAATAACTGCACAAAGCAGAGGCATGTTTGAGGGACATCTAAATACGTCACCATGAAGGTACTTCCAACCCACTTCTTTGTCTTCCTCTTCATCACTGCTAGACCATCTGCATATCAATCATACAAATATGAGGACAGTGCTTTCATCTTCAGGTGCCTTCATGTAAATACACATGGATCACTTCTTTTGCTTTAAGCAATCATAAGCATGATATGAGGCTTACTTTGTCAGATCATTCTTAAGACGCTGCATCATACTCGCAGCAAAAAAGGCCATCAGCAAAACAGTAATAACAATTGAATTAACTATCGAGAACCAATGAACTTGTTGGTTCACTGGATTTCCGGAAGCCCTAGAGTATCTTGCCATTCTATTCTTGAATACAGTTGAGGTTTCATTCCAGAATACATTATACGTGAAGGTAACACTTTGGTCTTTATCTTCTGTTATATCCACAACATGGCTTGGATCACTGAAAGCATGTATTTCTATGACTTGGTTTCCATTGTGAAGGACATCAAATTGGACATGCTTAAAGAGAAAATACTTGGGGCCCTTTCCGTCCAGGGTCCAGTGTTCATCTTCAATTTTCCCGACAAATCCCCAGAAAGGGAGATCGTCAAAGTACATCTGATAGTAGTAATCTTTAATAATAGCATTCCTGAACTTTGAGACATCATTTTGATTAAGCTTCTTGTGACACAGGACAACCCCATCT